TATATTATTTAAGAAATACATTTTGTAAAGCTATAGCTGCCCTAGACAGTGATTCCCCTGATGGATCTGGGCAAAATAAATGGAAAACTTCTGGAAATGATTCACCATCCCAAATGCTAGTAAGAACATTCATGAGTCATGGGAGGAGGTCAAAATAGCAACATTAACAGGAGTTTGGAAAAAGTTGATTCCAACCCTCATGGATGACTTTGAGGGGTTCAAAGACTTCAGTGGAGGAAGTGACGAAAGATCTGGTGGCAATAGCAAGAGAAATAGTGGAGCCTGAAGATGTACCTGAATTGCTGCAATATCACGATAAAACTAGTGGATAAGAAGTTGCTTTTTATGAATGAGCAAAGTTCTTGAGATGGAATCTACTCCTGGTGAGGATGTTGTGAATATTGTTGAAACACCAACAAAGAATTCAGAATGTCACAAAAACTTAGTTGCTAAAGCAATGGTAGGGGTTAAGAGGATTTACTCTAATTTTGAAAGAAGTTCTACAGTGGGTAAAATGCTTTCAAACAGCATCGCCGTTTACTAAGAGATTAGTAAAAGATTCACTAAGAGAAATCTTTAGTGAACGGAAGAGTCAACTGCTGTGGAAACTTCATTATTTTGTTATTTTAAGAAACTGCCACAGCAACTCCAATCTTCAGCAACCATCACCCTGACTGGTCAACAGCCATCAACATCAAGCAAGACCCTCCACCAGCAAAACGATTAGGACTTGCTGAAAGCTGAGATGATTGCTAGCATTTTTAGCAATAAAATATTTTAAAATTAAAGTATGCACAGTTTTTTTTAATACATAATGCTATTGCACACTTAATAGGTTACAATACAGTGTAAATACAACTGTTATATGCACTGGGAAACCAAAAAAATCATGTGACAGGCTTTACTAACTTTATTGTGGTGGTCTGGAACCGACCCCGCAATATCTCGGAGGTATGCTTGTACATTATTCAAGGAAAAAGTATTATTTTAATGACGTTTTGAAATAGTGAAAAAGTAGAAAAATGAAGCATCCAAGGGAAAACAGTAAAACTCGGACGGCAGGAAAGCTCGGGAAAAACAAAACAAAACAAAACTGGCGTGTTCAGGGACAGGAAAAGTTCAGCGAGTCTTTTAATGTGTATAGGAGAAGTGAAAAGAAACAAGGCTGGGAGAGTAGTTTGCCGCCAGCCTATATGCTTTAGGAGAGAAGGAGGCATTCTAGGTTGTCTTGTTTTCCTTACCAGCTTGTTGATACTCATGGGACTCAATTATCTCAATTTAGACCTCTATGTGGGCACAATAGTGAGTAGGACGCCTGGAAAAACAGACACTAATGTCCCAGGCTGCACTTGACTTCACTCGTGCCTGCGGAAGAAATCCAGAAATGAGGATGAGCATAAGGATGATTCGGGGGAAATAGGGAGGAAGTATTCATGGCTTTGCTCCCTCCTCCCTTATCAAATATCTCAATCCCAGGATCCTAACGGCAGACCTTTTAGGACATCGGCATTTCCCGGTGAGCAATCCCCCCTCGCCCTCCTCAAATACAAACCGCGAAGTCTACCACAAACGCGTTGGCTTTAAAACTCATCCCTCAACTTTGGATCCACCCAGCCGGTTAAGGATATCACGACTCACCACTGATTCTTCTTGCACCCTTCTGGGAGCCGCGCTTAGAGTAATTCGCGCCCAAACATTCGTAAAAGAGGAGACCCGGAAGTGGGCGGGAAGAAAGCGGAAACGGGCATCTAACCCTACCCCTAAACGTCATCAGGAACGCGCCCGTGAGAGCGCGATTAGATTGGCTGGAGGGAAGGCGGTGTCGGCCTACGCCCCCAGAGTCATCCGGCTGTCGCTGGCGGTTGCGCGGTTTGTGTGGGCTAGGTGAGGGCGGGGAGGCCTGGCTGTCTGGATCTCTGACAGGTGAGGCGGGGGACGCAGAAGTCCAGCCGCCCTCTCATGCAGCGGAGTCCGAAACAGGCCTACCAGTGAGTAGGACGTACACCTTTCAGATCGCTCCATTCTTCTGGCTCCTGTCCTTCCTCTACCCCTTTATTTTGAACTTTTGTCCTTTCTCTCCCCGTCTGTCCTTTACTTCTGTCTTCTTTACCTTCCTACTGTGACGGGATCCCACTCTCTGCCTTCTCCTTAGGTTTAGATTTTCACTTGGACCAATCTCTCTTTTTGGGCGAGGTCCTTGGCAATTCGGAGGTACTTCTGGAAAGAAGGTGCTTTTAATACTTTAGGGGCCATGTCGTTATCTTCTCTGGCCACCTAA